TACCATTCTCAAGAATGTAGACAGGAGGATTGCCATAGTTCTGCTTTATATGCTCCAGGACACCTTCCATAGCCCACGGAACAACATCATACTAGTCCAAACAAAAACAGAACAAGTAAGAAAGCATGGACCGGGAACGCTTGAAGACAGTATAAAGAATATAATGAGTTTAGCATCTGAATTTGGTAGCCTTGAAGCTCTTACTTACCTCGAAACGTGAGAAATTCCCAAGGACTGTCCTCCAAAGCAGTGAAATGAATTAAGAGATGATGAGCAAAAACAGAATATGGAGTGGAGATAAAAGAGAGAGTTTGATGCGTACAAGTCATAGATACGCCCAAGTCTGTGTAGAAATCTGGGTTTCTTGAATGAGAAGGTTTCTTCTTGTTTGTGACAGAAGCTGCAAAGTAGAAAACGACTCCTACAAAGTCAGCTGAGCCTTTAACTAGTTGTGATTCTTCCTCTGTGAAAACTGGCAGTCTTGATCCAACGGTTTGTTTCATACTATCCGGATAGTCTCCAAATACTAGAGGCCTAAGCATCCTGGATTTCAAAGTGGAGATTTTTATTTTCTAGCTTTAAACTTTTTTTGGATATAACAAAATCTATTGGAACGTCGTCTGACTCACCAGCCGATGTAGAAGTCTCTAGCTCTTTGAACTGCGATTTCATCCTCGTTGGAGTTTGTAGACGGCAAAATTCCTAATCCATATATGCTAAAGCCTACGGAACCTCCCTGCATATCCTGCACATTATATATGATCATGATAGTTGCTCCTTTCGTCACCAGCTCACACATTCAAGAGATAGATATACATGAATAAGCAAGTCTACCTTGTACTTTTTCTTATATAATCTTGAAGCAGAGGCGTGCGCAAGCAGCACGTTATGAGCTACGATATACGGTTCAGTGGAAGAGTTCCCTGACAAGCAGTTGGAACAACGACCAGGCGTTGTCATGCCATCGCAGTAACCTCCGATTGTGAATACATTAGCCTCATTGAATGTGTTCCAGAATTTGACCTTATTTCCAAACTCTCTGAAGCAAACGTCTACGAAGGCAGTAAAGTCCTTGCTGCAATGACATGACAGGTAACTCACATTCCAGTGAACATGTAAAAGAAGCAAAGTAAATGTTAGCTTACATGATTCTGCGGCTCCTCCATCCTCCGTACTCATCCTCCAGAGACTGAGGAAGATCATAGTGGAAAATTGTAACATGTGGTTCGATTCCTGTAGCAAGTTTACTTAAAACCCGAGTTCGAAGGAGCTAGCAAACAACAAACAAAAAAAGTGATTTTTCCAAGTGCAAGTGGTTACCATGGGTTACAAGTTCATGGATGAAGTTCTTGTAGAACTGTAGACCCTTTGGATTAATAGGACCTCTTCCATCTAAATGAGATAATAAGAATGAATACTACTCAGAATCTTGATTCATACATATATATAAACAGTGAGTGTGTTTAAAAAGAAGAAGAAGACATACTAGGTATAAGCCTGGACCAAGAGATGGAGAATCTAAAGGCATTTAAGCCAGTTTCCACCATGAGCTGCACATCTTCCTGCATAGTGAGACCAAAGCAAGATCTATTTCATTTCACACAAGCAGGATTAGCAAAAACATATATATGGGTTTGGTGAGAATTAATGAACCTTGTACTTGTGATACCCATCACATGCTGTGTCTCCGTTGTTTTCTCCAACTGACGAGTTAAATCCAAATCACAACTTTATAGATTTTCCATGCTTGGTTCTAAAATTTTGTCTTTAAGAGTAAAACACCAAAACAAGAAATATGTATAGAACCATAGGTCTGGTGCGTGGCCTAGTGGTAACACAAGGGCTTGGTTCTTTTGAAAAACGGGTTCAAATTCCCCAAAGACGGAAGATTATTGATTAAATCGGAATATCTAAAAGCTAACTCCAGATACGAGGAGATTATAAATCAAAGTTTCGTGGTTTATTAAAAAAAAAGAAAAATGTATAGAGAATATGTAATGAAAACAAAAAGCTTATCGTACGACTATGAGCGAAAGTATCCCAAATGCTGGGCTTTCTCCCGTCTTCATAAGCAGCTCCTTCCCACTTTCAAATCATCACAAGACCAAAACATAATACATTCTCATCATTTTCAA